GGGAATTGCCTCAATGATCGTGCGGCAAGAGAAAAGGCAGCCACGTGTGCTGCCGCTGCCTTCTAGACTGGCCTTGGAAAAGCATACCCTCACAATTGGACTCTCTTTCTTCCAGTACTCGTGTGAGGAACCTGGAGCTTAGTGGCAACATATTGCATGCCTTAACAAGCCCACCGGTGGCCTCAGTGTGCGTTTCCTCCCCATGGCTCTAATTCTTAAAAATGTTGGGTTCTTGCACGAGCGCTGGGAGAAAGGAAGTCCAATTGTGAGGGCCAGTCCTAGAGGGAGACAGAGATCTTTCCTCCCCATGGCTCTAATTCTTAACATTTTGGGAGGGTTGCGCACGTGGGGAAATGGGTGCCTGGAGCGAGAGGGGAACGCAGGCTGACTGGGCAGGAAAGTAGTACTAGACTTCCAGGGCTCATGTGGAAGAGCCGAGGTGGTGCAGTGGTTAGAGTGCAGTACTGCAGCTACTTCAGCTGACTGCTAGTTCAGCAGATCAGCGGATCAAATCTCACCGGCACAAGGTTGACTCAGCCTTCCATCCTTCCGAGGTGGGTAAAATGAGGACCCAGATTGTTGGGGGCAATATGTTATTTAGTATACTGTCTTTGGTGTAAGACGCCCAGACTCCTCGGAGAGTAGGCGGTATAGAAATATGACTAATAATAATAATAATAGCAACAGCAATGGTTTGTAGCTTGTTAAGAAAGACCGCTCTGGCCAGCCATGTGTTTTCCAGCCCAGGCTGCTTGGAGTGAAAAGTATGCAATATGCAGCCGCTCCCAGGTTCCCTGCATGAGCACTGGAAGAAAATCGGCTGATGGTCGACTGCAGCCAGAGCTGGGCTTGAAGAAACAGCAGACAGACTTCAGGGTGCACAATCTACCCCTCAAGCTCCCAATGCCTGAACTGGCAAGCTGAAAGAGAGCAGGCTAGGCCACGGGGAAGGCAGCAAGCATGGCTTGGCCGCAGGGAAGGCAGGCAAACAGACTAGGCCATGGGGAAGGCAGCGGGGAAGGAGGCAAGCATAGCGGGGCCAACCTGGGAGGTAGTTAGACGAGAAGCAAAGGAAGACTCACTAGGCAGAGATCAGTTGGGCTGCGTGGTCGAGGCAAGCGAGGGAACCAGAGTCAACAGCAGCTATGCTGTGGGTGTGACTCTAGTCATTGCCAAGGCAGACGAGGTGCAATAAGGAGTGAGTGGGAGGGGCAGAGAGGGGAGAGGCCAGCCAGTGATGGCATGTGCCAGTTTGGTGAACTGCACATAATCCTAACTACCGGTTTTCCCGAACCGGCAGCATTCTCTGTGTGAAGCTCTGTGAAGCGATATATAAGTCTAAGTGCTATTGCTATTGCTAAAATCACTCTTTTCATTTTATTATTCTAATTACTGGAAAATAAGTATTCAAGCTATGAGATGCCCTGTATCTTTCACAAGCTGGTTTTAAGGGGAAGGAATCCAGTTAGGGCAGATTAAGATAGATGATGGCAGCAATAAGATTCTAGAAGCTGCTCCAAGGCAAAGTGGGTCAGGATGTATGAAGTGGAAGCAGGAGAGATTGGAGAGCTGAGACCTTCGAACAACTTTAACTTTATAGGCCTGACCCTCTGTTACTACAATAATCCTAAACTCCATCAGAAATGGGTATGGTATATCCTTGGGTCTAAATATGAAGGTTTTCCATTATTAAATTAAGGTGTTTTCTAATAAATCTGAGAACATTCTAACATTTTATGTGAAATCTTCCACAACTGATTCAACCCTTCTCTAGTTATTTGTCATATTGCTGGATCATGAACAATAATGGTCAATGCTTTTTTTCAACCAGACAATTCAGAGATAAGAAAAAAGTAAAATCTTTCACTGCTATTATGAAAACTGTTCAAGTAAAATTAAAATGTTTGATTACAGTAAACTTTTATTTTGGTAATGAAACCATGGACTTTTTGTTCTTTTAATTATTGATAGTAATGTGAATAGAATTAGAAGAAACTTGCAAAAGAAAGAACACTTTTGTGTATGTCTTAAGAATTAGAAGGAATTATATTCACATGTTTTAAGCTTCCTGAAGCTTCTTATTAACAGTGATAAACACTGTGTTCCTAAAGGAACAAGAACAAATGGAAACAATTGTTCCATTGAACAAAGAGTTACATAAAAACATTAGTTGTAAAATGAAAAGATGGACATCATTCTTGTTTATTATCAGTATAATTTTTGTGTTTTTCAAATTACCAATTATATTCGATAACTTTTTAAATATAAAAATGTAACTCCTACTGTCTAAAGCCATTTTGAAAAACATGTGAACAGTTAGATCCGCTCTACTATCTGTTCCACAGTCAGCCAGTCTGTTTATGGAGAAGATATTGAAAACCATAGCACATTTAACCTGAATTCATTTGTAATGTTTCATGTGACTGGTTTCTATATAAATCTTTTTCTTCAACATGGGTAAATCAGACATCATTATTTCCACATATTCTTTTACAGAATGCTTAAAATTTTGCTTTAGGAACCACTCCAATGAAGTAAGACTACAGTTTTCTATCTATCATCAGTTAATAAGTCCCAAATGAGTTCATTATTTTTTTTCCTAAGATGATAAATAAAGATTGTGTTATTAAAGTTTGGTGAGTCACCATATAAAAAAAAATCTAGGTAAATTAAATTTAAGTGAAGGCTTAATTCATTTAAAAATATTGTTTTTAAAATGGGAACTTAAGATACCATGAGAAGTAATTGAATCTGTGATGTTATACATAAGTAACTGTTAAATTAGAAGGATCTAGGCTGAAATAAATGAAGGAATAAATAAAGCCAAAGTATGGTTGTCAACTATCCTTTGTCACACCAAGGAAAAGATAGGATGATTCTGTTCAAAAGCAAATTATTTTCAGAGAGACACGAAATAATAGTGATGAGGACCAATATATCACCCTCGAAAAAAATCCAATATATCACCCTCTAGAAAAATCTGCTAAACCAGGTTATTCCAACACATTCCTAATTGGTGTTTCTAAATGTTCTCCATTTAGTGGCAGACATAAAATGATCAGCTACTAGTGACTTCATATTAACAAGATTAAATAGCAACATTGAAAAAAAAATAATGTAATGATTCAATAAACTTAGCAAACATGCTTTTCTATAGTTCTAAGGTAGCAATTTATTCTAACATGTCCAATCATACCATAAATTATTTTTGAATCACAGAATGAAATATGTGGAAGATCATTTGGGTATCAGTCTCAGCAAGTAACCTGAACCCATTTTTCTATGTCTTGCACTCTTGTGTGCTAGAAAGCAGATTTGGGCTTTCTGTGTCACTGCCAAGTACTTAAAGAGTGGTGTCATAGACCTCATCTTCTCATCTTCAGACTCTCTTCCTAAAGTTTAATTTCTAGTCCCCTGATCATTCTTGTTACCTTTAAATTTCTGAAAAGTTTCACAAAAGCTGAATCTCATTCAAGGTAAGTAGGTATTCCAGCGATGTTGTTTTTGCATTTCTGAGTTGTTGTCTTTTTTAAAATTCTCATCATCTTCATTTATTTATTTATTTATTTATTTTTATTTTTATTAAATTTCTATACCGCCCTTCTCCCGAAGGACTCAGGGTGGTGAACAGCCACAAGATAAAAGACATAAATACAAAAATTTAAAATAAATTAAAAACAAATTAAATAATTTGGCTGAATTTAAAATACCCCACAATTTAAAACAAATTAAAATTTACATTTAAAAAGGGGAGAAGATTTAGGCCAGGCGAGCTTGATGAAATAAAAAAGTCTTAAGCGCATGACGGAAGGTGCACAGATCCGGGATCCTCCGTATCTCCGGGGGGAGCTCGTTCCAGATCGTAGGTGCGCCCACAGAGAAGGCTCTCCCCCTAGGGGCTGCCAGTCGACATTGTTTGGCCGACGGCACCCGGAGGAGCCCCTCTCTATGGGAGCATACTGGCCGGTGGGAGGCTATTGGTGGTAGCAGGCGGTCCCGTAGATAGATAAATAGATAAAGTATGGTATTATCCCGTAGATAAATAAATAGATAAAGTATGGTATTTTTTATCTTTATAGATATGACTTGCCAGGAATATATGGATTAAATTTTGTTCTAAAAAACTCTCTTGGCGGTGGTGGCACAGCATCTCTGAGAAGTGACCCACAAGTAGGTATCTATTTATAAAGAATCATTCAGCTGATCTGCTCAGCAAAGCAAAGATTTCATAAACTGGCATCAGTTTCAAATACATGAGATTACCTATATAGAGGGGTATAGAGAATACAGTCTCTGTATCCCAAAATTGGTTCTAGTTAATAGTATTTCACAAAACAAATCAATTAATCTTTAAGATACAACAGGTCAACTTATTGTTTCTTAGTAACATACTTGAAAAAGGGAATCTAGCTATTACTTTATGTTACATAGTTCCTTTTGTTGGTTATATATTATAATATATATTATATATTATAATATATAATATTATATATTATAATATCAGTGAGACATCAGTCTCATATAACTAATTCTAGCTCTAAAATTCAGAATTTATTATAGCCAACTTTCAAAGTGCCCTTTCTGCAGATTTCTTCTTTTTCCATATTGGCTTTTTGCAAATGAGGAATAAATGCAAGAGCAAAGTAAAGTCAGTATTTTAGCCGTAGTGTGCTGAAATTTTAAATCCTTTGTTTGGTCATAACTTCCATGAATTTTTTAAAGTTCATTTTCTCTGTACTAATACAACTGAAGTCCATGCATGTTTATTATATGTATTATACAAGCCTATGCATGTTATACTAGAGGTAAATCCCAGATTTATAATGCAGGTATCTAAAGAAGCAATAAAAACCAGCAAGAAAGACAATCTCATTCAGAAGTAGACTGTACTATTCTACAGAGGGTTGATGCTCAAATAATGACACATTATTTGAGAAAATTTCACTTTTCTCCTGGCTGAGTTAGAACTTCAAGTTTTTTTCCCTTTATTTCTTTTACAGGGCAAGGCATTTGGACAAATGCTACTCGACTTCAAGATTAAAAATGTTCCAGATTTAAAATCTTTGATAGAATAACATCATTGTTTATATTCCATTTTGAAATTGCAATATTTTAAATAAATTTAAAAAACCAAAAGTTTTGGTGATGTTTATCATCTAAGGATTTAACTGATTCCTAATGTTCAGATACAAGAATCTTCTGAGTAATGCCAGATCTGCTACTTTGTATATCACTGGTATTTCCTGTCTGCTGCATTCGATGATGAGCCTATTTATTTACTGTGAATATAATTAAGCAATAAATTATAGAATATTTTTCCAAGAGATAACTACTGCTCTCAAGTAAAAACTGTTTCTCTTTCTCTGCTGCTTGGTATTACAGATATAAAACTAGGAATAATGTGCATAATTACAACTATAATTATATATTCAAATTATATGGCCGCCCAGGATGAGCAACAGCTGTCCACAATAATAACAGAATACTACTGGTTTTGCTAAAATTAAATCTTATTACTATGGGGTCTAGATCTTGTTCTTGTGTTTATCTGGCATATTTTCTAATAACTACTTTCTTATGATAAACAAAGGCATTTCCTTTGTTTGTAAGCAGACATAAAATACTGAACAAAAAAGCTTGTTTAAGTAAAGCAGCTATTGGATTTAACAGAAGACCTATAGTATATACGTAAGGATGCGGTGGCTCAGTGGCTAAGATGCTGAGCTTGTCGATCGAAAGGTCGGCAGTTCAGCGGTTCAAACCCCTAGTGCCACGTAACAGGGTGAGCACCCGTTACTTGTCCCAGCTTCTGCCAACCTAGCTGTTCAAAAGCACATAAAAAATGCAAGTAGAAAAATAGGGACCACCTTTGGTGGAAAGGTAACAGCATTCCGTGCACCTTTGCCATTTAGTCATGCCGGCCACATGACCATGGAGACATCTTCGGACAGCGCTGGCTCTTTGACTTTGAAACGGAGATGAGCACTGCCCCCTAGATTCAGGAACGACTAGCACATATGTGCGAGGGGAACTTTTACCTTTACTATAGTGTGTACAGGTAGTCCTCAATTTACAACAGTTCATTTAGTGACCATTTGAAGTTACAACGGCACTGAAAAAAGTGACTTATGACCATTTTTCATACTTATGACCATTGCAGCATCCACGTGGTCATGTGATTTACATTTGCATGCTTGACAACTAACTCCCATTTATGCCAGTCGTAGTGATTCGGAGTCATGTGATCCCCTTTTGCGACCTTCTGACAAGCAAAGTCAATGGGGAAATCAGATTCACTTAACAACTGTGTTACTAATTTAAGAACTGCAGCGATTCACTTAACAAATGTGGTGAGAAAAATCATTAAGTAGGGCAAAACTCACTTAACAAATTTCTCACTTAGCAACATAAATTTTGGCTTCAATTGTGGTCATAAATTGAAGACTACCTGTATAGTATTTTAAAATTTAAATTATGATAAATTATATAACGTTATAGCTCTGCAAAATTATTACATCTGTGGCCTAAGTTATTCTCATGTACAGTAATTAATAATGTAGCTTTCATGAGTATTTTTGTTTATATAGTATATAGATGTAGATATATAGAATGTGTAAACTATCATTTAATATCCTTAAACTCACATTCTAGCAAAATAATAATTAGGATTATCCAATACAGATTAGAGTCCTACGTGGAAAGTGAGATGACAAATGTTCAAGTTGATTTTTTAAAAACCCAAGAAAGAAGAAATAATATTGCTAATATACACTGAATAACAGAAAAGGCTAAAGAATACTAAATGTCAATATGTGCTTTTTTTGTTTAAAGAAAGGCCTTCAATTTGGTTGACCATATTAAGCTGTAGAATATCATTAGAAAAGTGGGTTCCCAAAGCATCTGTCTTCATAAAAAAACTATACTCAGGACAGATAATCTCATTGTGAACAGAACAGAACAGGATGCAATAGCAATAGCAATAGCACACTTATATACTGCTTCATAGTGCTTTATACCCTCTCTAAGCAGTTTATAAAGTCAGCATATTGGCCCCAACAATCTAGTTGTTGAGTAGGTGAGAATCAAACTGGCAGTCGGCAGAATTAGCCTGTAATACTGCATTCTAACCAATGTACCACCTGTTGTGGTCCGCCAGCAGCCTGCGGAGCTGGCAGCAGAGTCAGACAGTGAGGAGGCTGGGGAGGGCCATGGGCCAGTCCTGGAGTCTGGGGAAGGCTCGGACGAGGGCTCTGCATCAGAGGCAGAGAAAGGGCCATCTGGGAGGTACGTGCTGCCTCCGGAGCCTCCAGAGTCAGACCTCAGTGAGGCAGAGGAACAGGGGGAGCCTGTTCCCAGTGCGCACATGCGCAGAAGGCAAGAAGCTAAAACAAAAGGGACGACTCGGGAGTAGGGCTGGGAGATGATTGGCCCCTCCCATAAGACTTTTTGAGGAGCAAAAGCACCGGGGCCTTTGCAGGAAGCAATGTTTGTTCATTCTGTTCATCTTAAAATCTGAAGTTCTGTTTGATTCTGGACTCCGTGTGGCTTTGTCAATTAGGTCTTTGGCAGCGTGTCAAGGGAGATAAAGGTGGGTGATTATCTAGGACTTCTCCTGAAGGACTCTTTGCAACTAATTGGGACTCCTATGAATGAACAGAATTCACAGCTGTTGCCATAAAAGAGGTTTTTGGGACTACTCATGTGTTTTAATGATGCAGGAAGCCTAGGTCAGAACACCACTATAGTTCTTCCCCCATCTGAAATAGGCTCCAGATCAGCAAAGAAATAAGACAAAGCTGTATAATATCCCCTTATTTATTCAAATTATATGCTGAATATACTCAAGGTATTGAGTATTGATTGGAAACGTATTAGTGTGGTTTTAAAACTGCAAAAAGTAATATCAATAACTGAATTATACTGATACTTCTTCAATAGCTGAAAATGCAAATGATTCAGATGTTCTGATAATTAAAATCATGGTGCAAAGTGAAAAAATGGGACTAAGATTAAATATAAGGAGCCTTGGGGGCGCAGCGGACTAAAGTGCTGTTAAGTAGCACTTAGCTGCCAGCTGCCTGCAATTACTGCAAGTTCAAATCTCACCAGACTCAAGGTTGACTCAGCCTTCCATCCTTCCGAGGTAGGTAAAATGAGGACCCGGATTGTGGGGGCAATAAGCTGACTTTGTATAAAAAGAACACCGCTTGGGGGGGCCGAAAGCCCTACTAAGCAGGTATATACAAAAAAGTATGAAGGCTATTGCTTAACACATTGTAAGCTGCCTTGAGTCTCCAGAGAAGGGCGGCATATAAATCGAACCAATAAATAAATTAAATAAATAAATAAATAAATAAATATAAATATTAATGAGTACAGAAACCAACGTTAGCATTTACAAAGCTTTTGTGTTGTTGAAGTGGTGGATAGCTTTTGCCTTTTACATTTAACCATCAATAATAGCAGTAAAGAATACACCATAGTCTAGCCCTTGATAGGATAGCAATAGAAGCCTTGGAAAAGATATTCAGATGCCATGATGTATCTACATCTATAAAGAATAGAATTGAACAGGCAATGTTTTACTATGACACTATATGGAAGCAAAAGTTGGATCCTTAAGAAGCAGAATAGAAATAGTATTGGTGCTTTTCAACTTTGGTATTGGAGAAGATTCTTATTAATCTTTTCCAATACCAAAAAAGGACAGATCATGCCAAACATCTTATTTCATTATTTGACAAAGTGACTAAATTAGTGTACCAGCGAACTGTTGTGGACTTAGTTTACTTAGAATTTGGTAAACCATTTGACAAAGTAGACTACAACCTACTTCTTGGTAAGCTAGAAAAATGTGAGCTAGACAGCATCATCACCAGATGGATTTGTAACTGGCTGACAAACTGCACTCAGCAAGTAGTCCTTAATAGTACTATATTGACATGGATATAGTACATGGGGTACCACAAAGTTCCATCGTCGGCTCAGTACTCTTCAATATCTTCATAAACGACTTAGATCAGCGGTTCTCAACCTGGGGGTCGCGACCCCTTTGGGGGTCGAATGGCTATTTCACAGGGGTCGCCAAAGCCCTCTCTCGCCCCTCCCCCACACCTTCACTCACCCTCACTCAATGCTCTGTTGGATCGCCGGCCATTTGCTTACCCCGCCCACTCCCAATCTATTGCTGCCTCCTGAGTCCCAGCTGATGGCTAGAGGAAAAAAAAAACTGTTTAAATTCTTGCCGCAGGGCTTTGTTAAATTGCTGGCTCGCCCCGCCCCTCCGCACCACTATTTATTGCCAATAAATAGTGGTGGGTGAGGGGCGGCCGAGCCAGCAATTTAACAAATGGTTCGGTGTTTTTTTGTAATTTTATTGGCCCGCGTAGCATCAGCGTAGGCTAATTAGCCCTTGATTAGATCGGCTCCCGACTCTCAGCTGATTTGCTCTCAGCTGTTTTGCTCAGGGCTCTGCCGCTTGCTAAATTGCTGCAGCAGATTTTTTTTTCTCCTTGTGCAAACCAAGCTCAAAACGAAACTGAAAGTAAAACATGCTGTTGGCTTTGCTGTTTGCTGCAAGGTTGGAAAATCAGGCAGCAGATTTCTTTTTCCTCACCATAAAAGGTAGGTGCAAACAATGGGAAATTTAGGGCAAAAGAGGAGTTCAAGATTTTAAAACACAAAAGAAAAAAAGCTCTATTTAACTAGGGAATTGTAATAATTGAGATACTATTAATTGTATATTGTGTTAAAAGCAGAAATTGTTAAGTTGTGGTTTAGAGGAATATATGGGGGAAATTATTTGGTTTATTATTATTGGTAAATATAATTAATTGATTTGTAAGAAATTGGATTGCATGGAAATAATTGGAATATTCATGTTCATATTAATTAATATACAAAAAAGGTAGTTATATAACTAATTGATTTATATTAAAATGTTGAATTTATATTAAACAACTGTAATATTATATAATTAACCAATGTGAGGATGGATATAAAAATAGATGACAATGAGAAGGGGTATAATATAGAATAGAAGGGAAAAATTGAATTTGATTAAGATTAGAGATGAGGATGAAGAGTAATATTGGTTTTTTACAAAAATAGATGAGGAATAAATATGGCAAAAAGGA